AACAATTTTATTATCTCAAGATAACAAGATAACTAACTTGTTATCTCAAAATAGCATTCCAGAAAATTATAACTACCTCATGGCCTCTCTGGACTTCCATAGAAAGGAGTTTGCTGTAACATGTAAACTTTCAAAACTTACCCGGTTCACATTTTCCTCATATGAAAATTAAGCCTGTTTTGAATTCCCTGTTTTTTTGTGATGTCACAAAAACCAACAGAATCACACACATCTGGCTATTCAGCCTGTGGCAGTTTAGCACCACACATTCAAATTGAAGTGACAGGGAGTGCTTCCACCTGGGCTGTTTTCTGAATGAGACACAATACAGGGCAGCCAATCAGAACAGAGCTCTACACATACTGTTTTGAATGCATAGTAACAAAACAGCCTGTTTATTTCTAAATTATAGAGAGACTGAAAATGGTCTTAAAAATCCATTCTGAATTTTCAGTACATAAACAGGAATGTGGGAAATTTCAGAATTGTAACTACTAAAAACAATAAAAATAAGACAGTAATTTGAACTTTTTAATAATTTGAGTACCCTTCTGTGCTTGTTTTAGAGTGGAGTTATTTTTAATTCATATTTTTTCAAAACTTGCAGCAGTCGTGCACCTTTTAAACTCTGTATTGTCATTACAGTCAGCTGAATCGCTTTCCTCGATAACAACTGGCTGCTTTGAGGGTGTCGTTAATATACATGCAGGTTGAGGTTTAAAGAGGGACACTGTATGCAGAGTTAGAGGCCAATTCTGAACCTTAAAGTAGCCTAATACCTTTTTTAAACCTTAAAAAGAACCATCCAACACAATAATTAATGTTTCAATAACCGTTGTATCTCCCAGTCAGTGCGCCTTCCAGTGTAAAATCTCACCATGACTGTGTGCATGACATCATCCATTACCGTGCCACATATCAACAATCTGACGGGTCGCTGCTCAGCTCATTTGTCTAAAGTTGCATAAAGAATGAGAGAGCAGAGAAGCTCGGTTGATGTGTCAGTTATACGTATATATTGTTGCCTCACCTCATTTTAGCTCAGTATGACACATTCTGTCTGATGTAAACTGTGAAAAAACTTCAAATGGGGAAAAAAGGCAAATCATTTTTCATGACGTCATCATATATGTCACATATCTTCTGCTTAACATTTCAGCACGCTAAACTTAAAACACCTTTCCATGTCCCTGTACATAAGCATCATAAGTGGATCTAGATAGACAAATAGAAAAACATGTCGAAGGATATCAACCTTTCAGACAAAGCAGACAAAGAAACACCGTCTCGAACCACTGCCGATTACTGTACAAGTTAAAGCATCCTAATAATTAAAATATCCCTCCCACAATTACTGAGAAATGGCTTTCATTTTGATTCTGCCACACAAAAGACAGGCTGCCAAATGTCTATCCAGCAGAGGTAATTCTAAAATAATTTAGCCACACTCAAAATCCACTTATAAGATATATCAAGTAATGGCTTTGACCTGAGCAGATGAGGCCATTTCAAAGCCAATTTCCTTTGGATTCATCAAGCTTGACCATTTCTGCAGCCATAATAATCCATCGGCAGGTCAGCACCATCTTCACAGGCTGAAGTAGAGAGAGAAGAGCTAATGTCCCATATAAAAACAGACCGCTAAGAACAAAGAGTGCCGCCATTACTTTAGCAGCCACTCTCTGGGTCCCACACTCACTGTTATTCAAAACAATAAGGCAGTAAGACGTTCATCCATCTACACACCGGGCTGCACAATATATTGTCCGTGTATCAAAAATGCTAAAATTGGCCTGATATTGAATAAAACTGCAATATAAAACTAAACCTCTAACCACCCCCACATTTTATTTATATGCTGTGAGCATACTGACTGTATTAACCTTGTTGTACATGATAGGGCTGCACAATACTGTGGTTATTTCATATACAAATATGACTTAGATAATGTAGATTTGAATATTACAAACTAACAAAGACCTTAAAATGTATTTTAGGATGTTTTATTCAATATTTTGGGATCAACAATAAGTTATTAAATGATAAATCATATACTTTGAATTTTGTCAAATGTTCTGCCTTTCATCACCACCTATGAAAACAAGGCATTTGGATATGAATTTTGAATTATTATTAACCTCATTCTTTATTCAGTCATTTCAGGATCCTCTATCACTTTGTTCATATTTCTGGATGCAGCTAAAACCACAAATAAACTCATTAGCAGTGAAAAAGAAAAAGCCAAATTCAGAAACCAATTACGGAGCCCAATGGTTTCACTCCTAGGAGAAACCAATAACAGTTCCAGATGACTTTCTGTGGGTGTTTTGTTAAATTAAGGCATTTCTGCGATTCAATAAATGCAAATGATGTTGGTCAAAACAGCTACTGTGCTTTTAAGATTGATGTAAATTGATGTAAATAACATCTGTTCTGATTGGCTGCCCCGTAATGTGTCTTGTTCAGAGAGCGGTCCAGGCTCCTTATAGCTTCAGCATGAAAGGGTGGGGCTAAACTGCTGTAGGAGTATGTATGCCAACGCACCGATTTTAATGACAGCACCAAAACAATGAACTTAAAATGGGCTGTTTTTTCCAGCTTGGTGTCCATATATAGACTGTATGAGTGAACAGTGTGTTTTTAACTTTAACAATGTTTACATACCACATTAAGCTCTTTCATCTAAAAAAAAAAAGTGAGGAAGATTCAGTTTTCCATGATATGGGCCCTTTAATTTATGCTACGTCATGCACCTTAGCATTCAGCTGTGGTACTACGGTAGACAGTATTACTCACCTAGGATTTCAGTGAGCTTACTTGCTTCTGTCTGGCCATGCTGAAAAACAGTCTCGTCAATACAACATAAACATGTTCTGTGCCGTCCAGTAACAGGCAAAGTCCATTATTAAAACTGGCACTGGCCACGAATCATGAAACCGTAATGCTGATCGGCAAAAAGCAAACAAACGAGCGCTCATCGCGGGCCGTGTGCCTGCTCTCAGCAGCATGTGTAATCATTCTGTTTCTCATCTGCTGGAGGAGAGCGGCCCGGCCCAGCATTTAGCAGAAGCCTGGAGTTTTGATTTGAGCGGCCCTCATGCAGCGCGCTGGGGGAGTCCGAGGGATCTCCCCACGCTTCTGCTCCAGCACACATAAACAAACAAACCTCAAATCCTCCACAGCCAGGCAAGCACACAGCCATCCTCACACATGCGCTGCAGAGTATGGACTGAATAAGCGATGAAGGCAAGGCCCTTTATTCTTTTTTGATTGGCTTGACCTCTGGTGACCTGAGTGGACCTCTGTGGGGGATTTGAGCTGTGGGACAACTCTAGCAGTGTTTTCTATGAATTTTTTGGATGGATGAAGACAAACAGGCTGTCAAAGTTTGACAGAGGCTTATGTGTCACTTGGCTTGTGTACAATTAACAATTATTTCTGTAATTGATTCATTAATCAACTGTTATACAGGTAAAGAGACACTGGTTTAAAGGAAAACCTTCCAATGATGCATCTTGATGCTGGGTGGAAGTTTTGAAAAATTACAGCTTTGGGGAGGATTTCTGGGGGCAGGCTGATTTAAAAAGGTTTTTATTTACCTCAGCTGGTGAACGCAGACAGTACTGCTAACAGTACTGCCAGGAAGCCAGACATCCTGCAGCTGTGTAACTGCAGTAACTGTCTTCAAATCATCATTACAATGGAGAGAATGGATACCACAAACAGACATGACTTGTCAGATGAAGAGGACAACAAGCTAAAAGCTACAGTTAGCAAGGTTGCCAGGCTATTTGGATACCTTGCCTAGCCAGTTTGGCCCCTTTTCTCTGGCTGAAAGGGTGAAAGACTTGTCTCCGGTGTCCTTTCTGTTCTGAATGATGGTAGAATTGCTAGTTTCTTCACAATTATGTTCAAAGACCGAAGTAAGAGTTACACTAATGCTATTTATTAGCCTACAGATCAGAGGATAGCAGTCAAGATTGCTTGACATCACAGGGATTCCCAATGGATGTGTAATGTATATGAGTAGCGCATGCTCGGTAGTGTAGAGGCGATGATAAATGAAAACATGAAAATGATATAAAATTGTGAATCCTGTCAAACTGAAGAGGCTGAAATTAATGTGCGCTACAACTGCGCAACACTACAGGTAACACAAACTCTAGTTCTAGGCTGGAATGGGCCCCTTTTTATTAACTTACAGAACAGCTGTCTGCTGTTTCCTCTCACTTTGCCCCATGACAGCCCCACTATCATTCAAAGCTCTGTCTGTGCGACAGTTTCTTCTTTAAAGGTGCAGCGAAACAGCCATATCGCCCCCTACACTTCCTGTAGTGCACTGCAATCTCTCAGGAAATGTAAACAAATAAATTACTTCTTACTCTAATTTTTCACAACAAGCCAAGACATGTTTAGTGCCTAAAGTGTGCTTCTAAATTTTGCACTGGAGCTATGAGGCTAATGTACAGTTGTATGCTGTAAGTTTGGGCACCCTTGTCAAGTTACATGTTTTGTTGATTTTCTAAGTAAAACTACGTTAACATATCCTCTACAGAGAACACACGTCTGCACACTTTAATGCACAACTACTGTTTATTTGTAGAACTTAGCCCACTGGAAACAAAAAACTAAATGTTATGCACATTTTATATTTAATGTTTTATTTTTTTCTAATATATTAAACTCAGCAAATAGATACACTAACATTTCCAGAACAATGTCACGCTGAAGTTCTCTGTTTAGTATAAGCTTACTTTCACTTGGAAAATCAACAAAACATGTAATTTGACCAGGGGTGTTAACACTTTTCCATACAACTGTGCCTAACAAGTAATGGTTGCTTGAATACTTTTGGATAAGGGCAAAATTATGTAAACTTTGCACTATTCCAAAAGGATGGATAGCTGAATAAAAAGCTGAGGCTTTAAGGGACTTTTTTTTCCATAATTTACACTGACAGTTACTATCTACTAACCACACTCTAATATCATGGCACTTACCAGTGCATCACTTGCATATTGTGTTGTGATTCTCAGGCTGTCCATCTCCGTACCCATGTCGGCCATGTGGAGCTTCAGTTTGCTTAACCGATGCTGCTGTTCTTCATAGCGGCTGTGTTCCTGCTCCAGCTCCTCTCTCAGCTTACACACCAAGGCCTCCTGCTGCCTCATCTGAAGATACATGGACACACAAACATGAGAGTGAGACCGCAGGAGGTCAGCACAGCAAGAAGCAACAAATAAAGGTCTTTCATATCCACACAGCTCTCTTTAGGGGCATCACAGCTCAACATAAGACCCCCACAAAAAAAAGAGCTGCATGTATGTGATGTATTTTGTGGCATCTAGAAGGATATGATGCTGAAGGGCAACCGACATCACCCTTGAAACAAAGCTGAGCCACAAAGGCCCAACAGATTTCATCAATTGGGTCACATCTGTGCAACGGGAACACTTTAATTTTGTATCTTTTTTCTTCAAATGATGGAAAGTGCACTGTGTACCAAGAGCTAACATTCATAGACATAAAAGCCCACCTCAGAACCGCCACAGGAATAGTGCAAAAACTTTAAAAGTCATGTAGTACTAGTTTCCAAATGTAGAACAAATAAATGCAAAAGTAAGGCTGTTAGGTCATTTTAGCTACTGATTCATCTGAGCAGGAAAAAATGGTTTGCTTTGGATTGTTAGCAAATGAGCTTCTTTTTTTGCTCCTCCTACCCTCTTTCAAGAGAAAGCAGACCTTAACAGGCAGGTGCAAAAAAAGGGACGGATATAAAAGGTTTGTAACTGCTTTTGTAACCTGTAACTCTCTGTGAGAGCTAATAATCTGTTAATCAACATATTCTTTTATTATTTTAAGGTTTGCATGTTATTCAAAGTCAACCTGAAATCAAAATGGCCACGGTCACATTAATCACAATCCCATTGTGTCCGTAATCCTTGATTTCTGCCCGCCTCTAAACACTGTCTGACGTTTGGTTGCGTCACTATGTTCCAGCATCACCCCATCAGCCTGACCAATCATCAGCAAGAACACCCTTCGGTTGCACAAACAGGTATGAGAGCAGACAACCTCACTGACAGCAGACAACCTTATTTCAGTTTGTTTACGCTGAAAATCTGAGTTAATGTTAACAGGAGTGAGGTAGTTCAGATATCTGGCAGGATTTGTGCTGTTTTCTAAAGTTTTCTGTCGCCCTGCGAGGCTCAGATGCTGTGAGGCTGAGAGGCAGGTCAGCTGAGGATGGAGCAACACACACAGACAAACACACAGTCCATCTCTTGGTCAAACGTTAGGTGAATACACTCCTACACTGATTTATTTTGCCTGATTTCTTTTTTCATTGTCTTTTTTTTATTGTGTTCGCTGTGAAATGGTAAGAAAAGTGAGAGCAATGCGAATGCTAAGCAGAACTTCCCTTAAAAAGTCAAAAACAAAACAAAAAACACATTAAAATCAAGCTTTTAATTAATGAATCATCTTCAAAAAACTACAGAACTCGGATAAAAAAACTGTAGTTTAACAAAATCTGTTTTTTTTTCCTTTAACTTTTCTGCAAAACAGACATTCTGCTGACCATCAGTCTGACTCTCCCCTTTTCATGATCCAGTCAAACCCTGAAGAATAAACCCTGATATAACACAGAAGCTGGTGTTTACACTCAGTTTAGTAATGTTAGCTTCTATGGTTAGCTTCTCCTCCCCTCAGGCAGAAGTTCCTGTTACTGTGGCCAAACCAACAGAAAGCCTTAAGAAAGGTTCACTTTAATTAAAGTTCATTTATAGAACTCCAGGGTTAACAGGATCTGTATGGCTTGAATATGATTGTGTTTTAATCATAATAAAATATCTTCTCTTTTACTTACTAATACAAATGTGGTATTAATTTAAAAAAACAGAATCATCACCAGCACAAATTAGAAACAATTGATCAAAAATTTCACCTGGGGTGTGCAGTATGGCAAAAATATCATATTACGATACTTTTTCATGGTAAATACGTATCACAATATTTTGACACAGACACAATGCAAGTCCTGATGTCTTTGTCTCTTGCCATTATAACTCTAACCATAATAATTTTCCATTTGAAATTCCATATACAGTACTGCACTAAACACAATTAAACAGGACTAATAATGCTCTATTTTTAATGAAGTATGCAGCATTTTTTTAAATAATGACGATATCTACAATCTGCTCAGGAAAGCATTTTGTGTCTCATGATTAAAAAAATGTATCACAATAATGATAACATATCATGTTGCCCACCTCTAACTACTTCATATTGCCCACCTCTAGCGACTTCTTAAGGTTTAGCAATGCTTGCAGAATTTGAGGTAATTTGTATCATTTCTAGTGATTACTGCTTTCTTTATTCCAAGCCCAGATCTAAAGCTTGCACTTAAAAAAACAGATTATATTTACAGGTTACATATCATAAATTTCAACAAAGGTGACACTAAACCATGTTAATGGCACACTACAACTGCTAGCCAAGTGGTAAAGACAGTGTAAGAGCGAGCGAGCAAGCGAGCGAGCAGCTAAGTGTCCTCCCCAGCAGCCAGAATAGGGCCTGTGGTGCTAATGAAAGCAATTAGATAAAGCAGTAGTAGGGGGAGAGGTAGTGTAATATTAACACCTAATAAAAGAGTGATATAAAATTTTATTACAGTGAAGTCAAGCTAAATTAAAACATCAGTCCCAAGGGTGAAGGGAGGGGGGGCGGACGACACCTCCCCTCGTTCGGGGAGATTTGTGAAATTAATATAAATGAAGATGGAAAGACACAGAAAGGGAAGGAAAAAAAATGTGTAAAAAGCTAGAACGTGGGAGAACACAATGTAAGCACTGCTCCTCACTGCTCGAGATTACGAACTAACCTCCAAAGCACATTCCACCGCTGCTCATTTTTTAAGTCTTTTTTTGTCTGAAAACTCATTTCCTATGGTGAGAGAAATGCAATCGCTGAGCCAGGCAGACAAGTATTACCTTTAATATAAGTGGCTAATTAAAAGAACTCGGAGAGAAAGGAGAGAAATGTTCCCCATTCACTTTGCTATTTGCTGATTATTAAAGAGCACACATGGTTACAGCACATTAAAAACATGTGGCGACGCGACACCGTGTTGCAGTTAAGCATGCTGTAAAACCACAGGCCTTTTAATGATCTCCTCAACTATAATGCTACCATATGCAAAAATAATGCAAATGAGATGACCTGAGGTAAAAATTCTGTATATTGGATTAAAATGGGTATGCATTGTGATAAAAGAGAAGCTAGGCACCTCACAGGCTTTAATTTATCTATACATCCTTCCCCCACAAACACAATCTTTCGTAACTACTGTTGCGAGCACTGTAGTGGTATGTACATGTAGGTATATGCTGTGTGTCCACCTCTGAGGAAAATTCCAAAAACTTGGGACAATAGGTAAAATGCAAAAAAAAACAAACAAAAAAAAACCAGAAAGCAGTGATTTGTAAACTGGCTTTTACAGATATTCAATTAAAACCAGTACCAAGAAGAGATATTTAATATTTGACCTTATGAACTTTACTGATTTGTGTAAAAAAAAAAAAAAAGCTTTCATATTTGATGCTGGTAATACATTCCAAAAAAAGTTGGGACAGGGGCAATGTAAGGCTAGGAAATTTGAAGAAGGATCATGTGATCAAACGATGGTTTTTCACACAGGGGAACAGGTAACAGGTGATGCTATCATTACAGAAAATAAAAGGAGCATTAACAAAAGGCTCAGTCACCATTTTGTGAAAAACTGTATGAGCGAATATCCCAGCAGTTTAAGATCAACTTTCTCAATGCAAGCTTGCAAGGAATTAAGGGATTTTACCATCTATAGTCTGTAACATTAAAAATAATGTTATAAAATGTTATAAAATAACCACACCCCCTATTTTCAGCTAACTCCATCCCTGGCTCATCTCTGGTTAATGCTCAAAAATGGGTGGGGCTGCTGGGAGGGGCACTGCGGTGCGAGGGAAACCGAGTTTGACTGGGCGGCTGTGCTTTTAGAGCTAACGTTAGCTGCCAGAAGATGTGGAGAGTGACAGAATCGAACAGCACTTTTGCACATGAGAGGTTTTACAAGGTTGACGATTTTTCTCCACTACCATCCCCATCTTCAACGAGGGAAGGTGTTTCTGATAAGGCAGTGTGTCTTGAGCCTTAACAGTATGATCCACTGACTCAAGCTGCTGCAGAGTTAACGTAGTGCCAGAAAATGATTAACAGCGAGCGGCAGAGGGATCAGAATGGTAGAACGTTCCCTAAAACTGCGACAGCTAGCTTCTAAATATCTGTTCAGCAGGTCCATGTTCGATAAAACAAAGAAAAAAGCTCAAGAAAGGCTGTACGGATGACAGTTATTAACAATGGCCATGTAACGTTAACCTTTCCTGAACCTTATCGCTTTCCGTAGGTCCAGTGGTGCTGCAGTTGATTTCTGTTCAGTGAGTGCGGCGCCCGAGAGTTTGATTTGTGAAGGGAAGAATCGGATGCAATACTGGCAGAATCCTCATTTAATTGGTCCTTCAGGTTACATAAACACACACTGAACATTATCAATAAATGTGGCAATCATAACATCTTCATTACAAACCCATCTTAGATTATTTAGCTCAGCGCTAGTGTGGTTATCTCCTTGCTCTGGGCTCCTATGCTTTCATATTTCCGAGTAGGACGTCATCAGGGGGCGGTAACGTTGGTTGACTTATTTGCATACTGTGATGTGTCATAGTATTTTGGTATGAAGACACGCCACCCGTGCCTATAGCAAAGCTGATTCAGATGGACGCTGCAGAGGTGGAACTGACCACGATAAAAATGATATTTTTACAGTTTGGAAAGATGTGTTCACATTTTAAGCAAGGTGGTATATTTTATCACCACAGAGCAGTGCATTTCAGCTGTTGATGAAAAAAAGGTCTTAGGGTGTAGTTACTCTTTAAAAGATTCAGAGATTCCAGAGAAATCTCTCTGTGCGTAAAGGACAAGGCAGAAAACCAATGCATGCCTGTACTTCTGTAATTGAATACAACCACATGGACTCCTGCTTTGTTAGAATGAAAACCTGCACCCAAACTGGCACTTTGTGGATAAGATTGGACACCCCTGATGTAAGACCATAAGTCCAGCTCCCAATGCTCTAACCAACTGTCTAAATACTTATGATATCAGCAACACTGTACCGTACTGCATATTCATGGTTTGTCCTGTGTTTCCTGTGTATATGTGTGTAATGACTTTGAGTGAATGGTTGATAATGGCCTTGTCAGTGGTCACTGAGCTGGATTACAGTGGTTTTATGATGCCCCTGAGCCACTCTGTAACTGTGGACTGAATGACACAGCTCAGTCCAGCAGCATTCCAGCTAGTAACAGGCTAATAATGTATACATTTTGCCCATAGGCCAGTCCTTCTCCCATTCCAGACCGCACGCCCGCAGTGCGTTTCCAAAGGATTTTCCAAACGCTGCCATTCTGGTGAGTGGGACCAATCAGGGTAAATGAAGATCAATAATGAGCCAATGGGCACGGTTTATTTGGCAGATGAGGTGGATCATTAAAAACACAGCATGCTAATTTGACGGCTGATGCTCTGTGTGGAGTAATGATGCTATCACAGAGACAGTGCGAGAGCGAGCGCATGCAAGAGCGAGAAGATGAGTTCACACATTCTGCTCCCACGTTCTTTCATATGGCTGAGAAAGAAGGACAAAGGAAGAAATATCAGTGAATATTCTGCACTAATCACTTAATGTACATCTGATTTAGTCATTGTGTGTAATGAGGCAGTGCTGACGAACAATACAATCAAACATACATCACAGCTAATGTTGATAATTCTATATAAAATTAAACATAATGAGCCACTCTTCACTATCACATAATATGAGATATAGTGTGCTGTGCAAAAGTCAGAGACCACCCTTCATTTATGTAAGTACATGAAGTGATATTTGTAAGGAAGTTAGGTCATTAGAAAGTCAAAGGAAAAGAAGTGAAAAACCAGGAGTCCCAAAACAGGAGTTCAAGTTTAAAGAATTAAAATTTTAAGACATAGAGAAAAAGGGACTAAGAGCTGTGCAAGATCTGGTAGACCACCAAAACTGTCACCAACAGATAAACATTGCTTTAAGGTCTCATTTTTGATGAAAAACAGAAAATCAAGCTCAATTTGCTTCAGATCTGAAAAAATCCACAGGTGTTTCTGTCCATCTTTCCACTGTGAGACAATCCTGGCTGGAAGGATGTGCAGCTGTCAAGAAGTCATTAGTGAGAAAATGATACAAACAAAAAAAAGAAGAAAATTTGCAAATTAAAAAAACTACTGGTGTTCTCAAAAATGGACTGACCACCCCTGAGTCCAGACCTCAGCATCATTGAATGTGTCCTGGATTACATGAAAAGCAAAAAATGCAACCAACTTCTAAGACTGAACTTTGGAAGTGTGGAAAAATACCCTGCAAATTCCTCTGAACACTTGAAGTCTCCTGAAAAGAATGGAAGCTCTAAAAACCGGTGATGAAAGAAGGGTGGACACACTACATACTGAAAAAAGATGATACAGATGTTTAGGCTTCGTTATAATTTTCTGTGAAATATTTTTCTGCTTTTTTCCTGACACTGAAAAATGAATAACTTGGATATAATGACCATTCTGACTGGACATCAAATAAATGAAGGGTGGTCTCTGACTTTTACTTTGACTTTTTAGTACTGTATAAAGGACTAAAGGAATGACCAAAGAGGCTAAACAGAAACACACAGTGATGCTTAGTGCTACACCTGCCAAACGCTCTTTACAGTGTGCTCAAGGTCTTCCTGTGGATGTGTGTGTGTGTGTTTGCCTTCATAGGGCTGTAGAGCAGCAGAGCGAGAGAGAGAGAGAGAGAGAGAAAGCTCCATGGAGTCCAAGCCTGTATTGATCCTGTAGAGGATCAGTATCCTTTCCCCACTGTGGCCACTGAATAGGACGAAAGTTCAATACTAAAAAATCGGCTGCTCATCCAGATCTCACAAAAGCAATTTGTAATATGGATTTATCCTCGCTGCCTACAAAGCCCGTTGCTGTTTTTACTATTTAAAAGCTTTGATCGGCTAGCCGGAGACGCTCCATCTTTTTTAAGGCCTCGATAGAGCGATTCATTTGCAATGTAGGTGGCAATTTTGCCTAAAATAAGCACAGCTATGGATAGTGTTTGGAATAAATGAGGAGCAAATGGATGGAATACGTTTGAATGAGCCATTTACTGTAGTCAAGTCCAGTGCTGCGCTGTGGTGAAATACTGAAGTGGCCCATCCAGCAAAGGTTTGACAATGCTTTTGCTTTTGATTTTGTACGAGTGAACCATGTGAAGTCTGGCTGGATGGAAAGCAGAGTTTCTTTCAGGTAGGCGAAGAAAGGCAATGCAGTAAATATATAACAATGTGCTTTATCCGAACTAGAATAAGCGGCAGTGTGAGGTGAAGGTGTGAGGGAGTTGATTAGCCCGTTCTCTCTCTCGTGCTCTCTTTTCCGAGGTGACGGGGGGTTGAGGTTGATCAGAGCGCTGGGTGGTCGATATGACATCGGCTCGGCCTGCCGTAATTAGCCGGCGTTGGCGAGGTCCATCACAGAGCAAACGGCACATGAAAATGATCCCAATCTCTCCCATCAGTCGCGCTTAAGCTCCCCCCAGCTTTACCTCTCAGAGGCATACGGCATATTTAACCACCTTACAGAGCAAAGAGAGGGAGAGAAAGACAAGTCTGAATTATTCAAGTTCCTAACCCATGGAAAAAAAAGAGAGAGTAGGAGAGAGAGAGAAAAAAGGAGAAGAAGTTGAGAGGAATTTAAATGATTTCAAAGGAACTTGCAGAGACCCGGATTAATTAAGTCTCAAGGCTTTGTGAAGGCCCTACCTGACAACACTTATCCAATCTGATTCCCACATGTAAGACATTATGAAATATTACAAGTTGGAATTAGGACTCCAAAGTACCTTTCCACAGTTAGTCCTCCCATATTAGAACAAGATAATCCCCGCGCTGCCACATGACGTTCTCCGCTAATCAGACGCCTGGAACATTCCAAATCCGCCACTGCGCTTTACTCTGCGTAGATGATGGCTGCCGACAGCAGCTTGAGGTACATGCATAAATAAACAAACACGGCTGTGGTCACGGGCCCACGCTGCGTGTGTGTGTACGCGTGCCTGTTCCGCGAATGTTGGGCCTCGGACACCGCTGACCTTTACAGTTGTGAGTGAAAAGCGTGAGGACGGACCCTCCTGGCCTTTATGGGTGTTCAGAGTGTGACGCGCAGTGTGAGAGGCCAGAGGGCTGTACGAGTGTGAGCGCTTGTGTTGTGTTGGTTACCTGCTCTCTGGCTTCGTCTCTTTCAGCCACGGCCTCACAGCTGCGTCTCTGCTGCTCCGCTGTGTCTTCTAGAGCTTTCTGTAGAGATTTCTGAGAAACGCTGGCCTCCATTTGAAGCTTCTGTAGAAGATCTCTGTAAATACACACAGATTTCAAAGAAAGAGTGACGCGTGTACAGTGGTAACTCCATTCACCCACATTGTAAGTGTATACTCATTCATCATATTCTGTCCTATTTAGGGCTTCAACTAATAATGATTTCTATAATCAGTAAACGTCTAATATCTCTGATACATACTCACCAAGCACTTTATTAAGAACACCTCCTTGTATCTACACTCTGTCCATTTTATCAGCTCCACTTACCATATCGTTTTGTAGTTCTACAATTACAGACTGTGGTCCATCTGTTTCTCTGCATACTTCGTTAGTCCCCTTTTAACCTTCAATGGTCAGGACCCCCACAGGACCACCACAGAGCAGGTGTTATCTGGGTGGTGGGTCATTCTCAGCACTGCAGTGACACTGATGTGGTGGTGGTGGGGTGTTAGTGTGTTGTGCTGGTCTGAGTGGATCAGACACAGCAGTGCTGCTGGAGTTTTCAAACACCTCAGTGTCACTGCTGGACTGAGAACACTAAGAACACACCACCACTACGTCAGTGTCGAATGCAGGGAAATGATCCAAGTAACCCAAGTAACATCTGCTCTGTGGTGGTCCTGACCATTGAAGAACAGGGTGAAAGAGGTCCAACAAAAGATGCAGAGAAACAGATGGACTACAGTCTGTAATTGTAGAACTACAAAGAGCTCCTATATAATGAGTGGAGCTGATAAAATGGGCAGAGTGTTGATACAAGGAGAAGTACTTTATAACGTGCTCTGTGAGTGTATATGGCTGCAATGAGTATTAAATAAATCTAATAATTAGCCATATCCAGCATTTTCTGTCTGAACCTGATTTGCCACAAGTCATCACGCTTTAATTCCGAACTCGACCCAAGTCCAATAAAACTTGACCCAGCCTAAATCATACAACAAAACCCGAATACAACAAAATTCTGTTCAAAACTGACCTGAACCAACCCATCATAACCCAAAGTATCCTGGCAGTTTTATTTGATAGCACTGGTTACCACATAGCGACAATGATAGCTATCATTACATCACATATAAATTAAATAATAAAAATAATGATAAAATAAAACAATTAGCTCTGCTGGTTTGAGCCGACTACAAAAGCAAGGCAGTTGGAACGAAACCTGGGATCTGAATTCACCAAGTCTGCTGAAACCGACGTAGCAGAGTTTAGCGTGGTAGAAAGCAGCTTAAAACCCTTCATCATATAGAACCAAAAAATGGTCACTCCTGACCAAAGAAGTTGTTTTTATTTTTGAAGATGATGATTATCAATACGCTGTTTCCACTGCTCTCCTGCAGATCACTGACACATCTAACAGCATCAGTGACCTCTTCAGGGTTACAAGATTGAGCAGGATGCTACTTGCTATTGAAGTATTAAAGTTTTTCAATGCTCTTTTTTCATTTTTCTAGCTTGTGAGTTTTATTAAATAAATACATCGAAAAAGCTAAATAAACAAATATAATTTATACAACACAAAAAAGCAAATTAATATCAATATAAGGTAAATTAAGCACAACAGTATCTGTAATAATAATAAGTCAGTCATTAAAATGACACCTTGAGCTTTTCTTATTCTTACAGAATATTAATGTCTGCAATAATATTCAATATAATAATTGACCCTATAAAATAATCATCCCTTCTGTTCAGCTGTCTGTGCCACCATCATTGCTCAAGGTTCCAACAAGTGATTTCTTCTTTTGTAGTGCAACGAAAAACACAGAAGCCAAATCGCCTCCTCAATACTTTCTGTAGTGAACTGCAGTCTCTTGAAATGACAGCATGCATCATACAAACATATAGAGCTCTAGATGGTGCCTTTTTAAGTAAACCTTGCCTCAACAACAAAAATCCACGTTAACATAATCCACGGTCGACTTTGTCAACTTCTTATCGCAGCCCTGGTTCTGCTCAAAGGAAAGCAGCCCTACAGCTGGTTTAGTATACACAACAATGAGTGACTCACACTGAAAATGGATCATGGAAGCACTTTTCTCAGAACACTCTTGGCTTTTATGTCAGTCATTGCAGTTCTGATCAATCAAAAATTACATCCAGTGCAGTAGCTGATTGTTAAACCCAATAATTCACATTCATCGTGAAATTCAAGTGAAAAATCCTGCAGCAGGCCCAATCACTGGTATTCACACGGCATTGCTGCACTTGGACTGTAACTCAAGCATACTAAATCAAGCGTAATGACCCTCTATACACCAGCCCGTCAGGAAACGAGCCCTAATCCGAAACCAGAATGAACGAGACTGGTGCGACTTCCTCTCAGGACTGAAGCCCGGCTTCGTTTCCCCTCTTTTTCCAAAAGAGGCTGTTGGTTTAGGGGACGTATTTTTATTATTTTTTTTATATCAGAGGTCATTGAAGTCTCCAGGCGCGGGAGACAATGGGCCCTGCAGCAGCAGGAAGCCCCATTCCCAGGCCTGGAAGTACGGCAGTAAAGAGGCAATCGATGAAGTGTCTATTTCTGCTCCGCCACAATGGGAACCGGCTGCCGTGGCGAAAGGATCAATACGACAAATTATTACAATTTCCACAACCTCCACTGGACATTCCGTGGGGTGCAAACACGCGCGCCTCCGCCTCTCGCTTGCATTAGTGCAGTCAAATGGAGCGAGGGGTGGGGTGGGGGAAGAGGAAAAAAGAGAGTTAAATACACACGTCACAAATGCCTATTCAGACATAATCAGTCAGCTTATATGATGGGGCTCGAAAGGTTGTGGCCATGTGAATGATGGCATATGAATAATTGCAGCCCATGGTGGATGAGGAGCAGAAATGGCTCTAATAGAGGGTTTGGGCGCCAAGGCTGGTCTGCACACGTAAAAGGCATGGAGGGGAGGGTTGATAATGTCAACTCATATGCAGAGACGTTTGCAGCTAGTATCACGATATACAGGGTGATTCAAAAAGATTCATCCGATTCCAAAATGATTTATTTCACTTGTAAATCATTACAGAACAATGCAGTAAACTGTAAATGGTTTAAGTGAGCATAAAGTTTATTATGTAATTTTACAAGTGCTCAGTATGAACCTCCTCCAGCTGTACGGACAACATCAACACCACAGTCAAATTCATCCCATACTCGATTGAGCATGTCGGGTGTCACTGTACTCACAGATCTTTCAATGCGATTTTGGAGATCATCCAATGTTGTGGAACCAATGACGAACGCTCTGAGCTGTTGGAGCTTCACTGCTGACGAAAATCACGTTGCACAGTTATGACTGATTCACTCTTATTGCAGTGGAGAATGCAGAACTCTTTCTGCTCAGGGGTCTCATCTCCTCGCAGACTGAAGGGAGCCATCTTCCACTGACAGTCAGAAACTCTACGACCCCCTCTTTCAATTGGTATGTGATTGGTTCCTAGGCACCTCATGGTTGTAAAAATATGGCGCTTTGAAATCGGATGAATCTTTTTGAATCACCCAGTATTTGAAGACATTTTGATCATGCACAATATGTATCACAACACATTTTTGGAGGTTTGCAAACAAGTTGTAATGAAAAACAAGAAGAAAAATCAAGTGATTTGTAAAAAAAAACTAATAAAATAAAATGACATCCAATCATCTATTTGTTATGTGCAAAAGTCACTGACCATCCTTCATTTATTTACTTTTCTGCCAAAAAGTCAAAACGGCCACTATATACAAGTTAATGTTTCAGCGTCAGGAAAAAAAAAACCTGTCAGAACAAAACCTCTCAGTTTTTAATTTTTGACACAATTTAAACACAGTTGCTCTTTACATTGTGTGTAAATGTTATAATAAGTAGACCAAAATAAATGGTCCAAGATTACTGATTACATTCACTTATAGTATGTTATAGTATAAAGTATGTGTTTTCTTTCTACTGTAAAGTTTTTTGGACATTTAAGTTTTGCTCCAAAAGAAATAAATAACTCAATGGCTGTTTTGACAGAAAATAAAATGAATGAAGGTTGATTTCTGACTTCTGTACCGCACTGTAACTGGTCTACATTTTTTTTGTATGATGCGTGCTGCAGTTCAGTGCTCTAGAAGTACTGGTGATACCCACAAAAGTGCTCTGTGATTTAATTTATGATGATAACGATAATGCATCATCATATTGCCCACCCCTACCGTATGCATAGGCCAGCGAGTCTGGTTTGAATTTAAGTGCAGACTTTTGTTAATGCTAACAGATTGAACTACATAAGACTGCCTTCACAACCTGCACCATGCCAAAAAAGCAGGGCCTTGTAATTGCAGTGTGGGGGAAATGGAAAGGCAGTTTGCATGAGATGACAGAGAAGGAGGGAGAGAAAGAGGGGGGTGCAGGGGGTTCCCAGACACAGCTGAAAGACATTTTGCATCATGCTTAGCCTAATAATCGACATTTGTGCGCTGGGGGAAGAACGTGGGATCCGGGCGAGCCACCTGTGGGTGTGCATGTTAACAACTTCCAAAAAAAGAAAGGAAAAAAAATGCAATGAAATCCCAAATAAGACTGATTAAGTCAGCCGGCAAGCAAAGATCAAACTAAATACTCCAAAGGGCAAAACACTAGTTATATGAGCGCATGCTGGTTTGGAACTGACGCACACTGTACACAGATTACACACAGATGCTGTTTAAACACGCTGCCTCGGCGTACACAAGGCAACCAACGGCGAGGCATGAGCCGCACTTCTCCTGCCAGACTACAGCGAGCGTGATAGGAGCAGACTGAGGGAGAGAGAGCAAAGGGAGCTTACTGTAACTGAGGAGTTGATCCTCTATAGTTAAGCATTGTTGAGACTCTGACAAAGGCTGGTGCATTAAGGGTGTGTGGAGGAGAGAGAGAGTGTGTAAGGGTAATGTGTTAGTACAGTTAGGGTTTAGAACCAGACTCTGTAGAACAAGACATAGCAAGATACAGAAGTATAGTATGTGCTGCACTTCAGTACATCAGGTGAGACACTGTCTCTTACCAGTCAGATGGTAGTATGTTACTGTATCTTACTGTACCTGCATGCGCTGGTGGGGAAGGGTGTTAGTGTGCCTTGTAGTCGCACCACTGACCACCAACTCACCCAGAGTTTGTGGTCAATGGTGTGACTAATGTTCTGTAGCTGTTTGGGTTGGTGGTAAACTGTTACTGTATCTTACTGTAACTGAGTAAGTTGGTGATCAATGGTGTGACTATAACTTTCTGTAGCTGTGTGGGTTTGCGGTAAACTGTGTTACTGTATCTTACTGTAGGTGACTAAGTTGGTGGTCAGTGGTGTGACTAACTCTCTGGAGCTGGGTGAATTAGTGGTAAACTCTGTTACTGTATCTTACTGTAGCTGAGCGAGTTGGTGGTCAATGGTGTGACTGCAACTTTCGGTAGCTGTGTGGGTTGGTGGTAAACTGTTTTTCTGTGTCTAAGTGCGGCTGGGTGAGTAGATGATAAATGATTTTATTGTATGTTTCTGTAGCTGGGTGAGTTGGTGGTCAACGGTGTAACTATCTTATTGTGTTTGGGAGAGTTAGTGGTCAATGGTTTAACTGCATCTTACGGTAGCTTGCTGAGTTGGTGTTCAATGGTGTAACTGTATCTTACTGCAGCGTTCTGAGTTGGTGGTCAATTATGTTAATAAAACTACAAATATGTGCGTCGGGATGCATCAGTCTGAAGGCGGTCATTCAACTGCATATATTTAGAAACATTAGAATCAATTATGACTGCTTAAAATAATATTCAAAAGAATTATCTCCATTCTATGTTATAAAGCATTGTTTGTATACTACCACATAATTTAACAGCCACATCTGTGTATTGAGTGATTTTTTATAAGAATAACTGCATTAAAATATTCTAATTTAATTGAATAATGGCTTATCTTACTGTAGTCACATGGACTGATATAATAAGTCCCTCTCTGTGTACTGGTAGTAAACTGTAACTTATATGTAACAGTGCATTATGCCAGTACATAGCGATACTTTATCTTATGTAGATGGGTTTGTGGTCAGCGGTGTTACTTTATCTTACAGTGGTCCTGTGGACCGTATTTTTCAGTCTCTGTATGTATCAGTAGCAAATGGTGTACTTGTAACATATATGTAATGAAGTAATATGTTGACATATGGTGTTAGCGGATCTTACTGTAGCTGGGTGAGCTGATAACTGCTCTGTTTCTGTCTCTGCTCCAGACTCTCACTCAGCTGCTTTTCTGTGGTCCTCAGACTGGATGATAACAACACTGCCCTCTCCTCCTGTCCTGCTACAGAATCAGCTAGGCGAAAGAGAGAGAAAGAAAGGGAGGTGAAAGAGCAAGGAGGGGGAGAGAGAAAGGGAGGGGGAGATGAGGAATCAGAGAGGGAGGAGAGATAGAAACAGAGCGAGACAGAGAGAGGAAGAGACTTTATTTAAAGCATAATCATTGAAACCTAAAAAAAAAAAAAGAAATATGTAGTTTTCATAGAGATACATATACATAGACTTATTTTGAATATGAACAAATAATATACATATAATTGTTTATATAATTTACTCTTCAACTATATATAAAGAGTTTAGATACAACAAGTTTTGGAAAAAATAACAGCTTACATCTAATGCAAAATCTTTTTTTTTTTCTTTAATAAAGCTGATATTAAGCATAATACAGCATTTATATTATCTGTATGTGTAAAGTCCATTACCAACAAAGCATTTCACAAAAAACGACATTCTTCAAAGTGGCCTATAATGTGTTTTGGAACTAAACCCTTCAAATACATATAATACGTTCATTTTAATCTATAAATAAATAAGCTCCTACACATATCCTAATCAATTATTTGGGTTTTTGGCTTCTGCTTTAAAATCACAACTGTGACAACGGTGACAGATACATAGTTATGCCACATTGAAAATAAGCTATTTTTCTTGCACAACACCGCTGTTTTGCAATGAAAAATACATTTCACCATCATATTTGTCCATGCTAATGCTCATGCTCATGGAGGACAAATCTTTGTGTTTACAGGAAAGTAAGGAATAATTCCAGTCTCCAACAATAGATGGCACTCTTTACTTTGAGCCCAAACACAAACACTGAAGAACACAGCCAGGCTTTTTCTTTCTTTGGTAAATCTAATATGAAAACAACCTTGTTCTGGTCTTACTACAGTTAATGTATTGAGTGTGCATGCAAAATGCCAACTGCTTATAGCCACCATGTTGAGCTGGCACTGCGTCTTTAGTCTAAGGTGAGGAACAACCCGTCAAATAGATGAGAAAGTACCAAACCTCAGAGAGAATACTGCCATTGAATGCACAGATGAGTGTTATTTTAGTGCACTTAGCCCCTTTAGTTTGAGCATTGCCAAAAGTAATGAATATATAGAGCAAGAAAGCTTGCAGGGGTTCAGTTGGCCTGGCCTGTTTAAATGATGTGTGATATGTGTGTGGTGGGAGGGAGGCTCGAAGGGGGGCTAAAAAGCGAATGCTAAAATCCACGGCCAAACATGATTAATTTATGGTGTTGCAGGGCCCAAACTGTTTAAATTGGAGCCGCAGGAAATTGAAGAGCCAACTGAAATCGCTAAATATTTAACAATGTACAAACACAAAGGCCGAATACAGCCCACCTCAGCTAGATTACAGAACCTCAAGGTAAAATATTTTATAAATCTAAATAATCAATAGGGGAAGGTAGTGAGGAAAGTGCTTAGAAATTCAGGTTTGGACAAAAATAAGCAAATAAATAAATATATATGTATGAAAAAAGCCAAAATAAATAAATAAAAATAAAGAGAACTGAGGCACTAATTCAATATTGCCCCGTTAACATTGCCCATCCTAGGAGAGAGTGGTGGAGAGCAATTAATTGTTGATAGGGCCTGTGCTGCTGCTCCACGAACACAGCACACGCAGGTAGAGGTTAGAGTGCTGGAAGTAATAGAATAATGTCTTTTCGCTGCAGTCTGAGCTTGAAATCTAAAAGCCAGGGGCTTCCACAGCGAGGGGAGGGTGGAGGGAGCATGTTTAATTCTGACAGGCTTTAGTGGAGAATAAAGCCAGCGTATGAGTATGTATGCTGCAGTCCATTCCCATGTTTTAATACTCAACATCTGTGGGCTTTTCGGGACGGATGGGTTGTTCTATAGGAAGCGGCGCCTATAGGTGTCATCAGCGGGCCTTCCAAACTGTCCTGGGGGTGGGTGAGGGGGTTTAAAATTCAAGCACGCCATACGTCCGGACCTATGCAAGCAAATGGGGCTTAAAAATTGCATCAAATAAAGTTTACCTTTGCCTTGGGTTCGAGCTTGAGTTGATTCTAAGCCAGAGGCACTCACAGCTGCTGCCTTATTTACAATCCCTTTGGCAGACTTACAACTGCCCCGGGCTATAACACAGTGTACCTAATGTTCAAACTGGCAGGTAATCTTATGTCAAACATACGCCTTTGATATAAAGTGATCAATAGATTCTTGTAAAGAAGTAATTTCTCTGATGTTTCAACCCAAGACTTTCTTTTATTACGATACATATATAATTCATATTTTTTGTTCATCGTAGAGGCTCTTCTCCCAAAAAAAGAGAGAAAAAAGGAAAAAAAAGAGGGCCATTGTAGGATAGAGAGCAATAAAGAGAGCACAGAAATTGTGTGTTTAGATGTTTCCGGAGTACAACAATTTTTCGATCAATACTCCATGTAACACAATTATCTGCAGTAATCTAGTTGTATTGGAAAAGAGTTTGCTCCGGCCCACTCCCCGGGTTTCAGGCCTGAGAAAGCTCACTGATAATTCCATCATCTTTAAAATGTATACCTCTCAGTGAAAGGGATAGAATATCACTACTCATGCACAAACGGTATCATTTGGGAGCAAAAAAAAAAAAAAAGAATGAAAATTTATGGCCTACCGTAATAGTCAGCATCATTATGACGAGAAGCCATTTCTTAATCAGGAAAATGGTACCTATTTTTAAAATTAGACAAAAGGCACAGACCCCCTCCCTCCCACCTCCCTTTTCAACTTTCAGGCTTTGAGGATTCAAGAAAAAAAAAAATCCTGCCTCTCAGTGTCCACAGTGCACGGACTGGGCTCCGAAGCATACCTCACACTCTCTGCTTGCAGCAGTTAGCTTTAGCCTTCATCGCTCACTCGGTGCAAAGCTACAATTTTTCACCTTTTCCCCGTATTAGCAGAATTTGCATTTAAACGTTTTTACTGTAGGAAGGATGCGGCTAAGGATTCTTCAATTAGAAAGAGATGTATCATTTCCAGAAGGCTCTCGCCATGGCAACCCCCGCACCGCTGATGCGCACAACAGCCTCGTAAATCATGTCACTGCCAGCCAATCAGCGGCCGGCTTTTCTGCAGGGATAGGCACGGGCTACTGCATTAAGTTATATTCCAGCACATAATGCATTATTCCTCGTCTTATTCTAGCAGAGAGCTGGGCTTAATGGTACAAAATAAACACCTCCAGGAGCTCCAGCGGAGGCCGCTGAGGCCAAACTACATATGTAGACTATCAATGAGGAGCGAGGGGAAAAAAAGAAAAACGACGGGTCAGAAATACTGTAAATCATATCATTAGAGTTTAATGCAAGAAAAACTAGATGTATTTGCAAAGAAAAACTTCACAAAAAATCACTTAAAAAAACAAGAATAACAAGGTGAGTTCTATTTATAAAACCATCTGCAGAACCTAACAGGAATGTCCTTCAAAGATTAGCTGTAGAACAATAGTGTCGTGGAAGGGGAAGTGTGTAAAGGGGGCAACACAAAGCATGGCGAGGGGCTCCATTCGCTTAAGCACTCCATTCATCCATGCCAAGGGCTCGTGGCATTCTTCTAGAGCGGCTGAAGGGCAAGCCAGTCTCTTAACCCCCCATTGTTGAAGTCTGTGAGGGTTCCTTGACAGTCCGCTCTCGTTTTTTAGTTTGATTCAGTCCGGCTGCCTTCATATGGTTCAATCACCCACTTGAACCCTTATGGTTCCTGGCACATCTTCCCTTTTTCTCCCTCGGATTTTCCCCTCGTTTCAGAGGAGGGGAAAAGGATTTTTCAAATGCAATCCATCACTTATGGCTGGTCAACACCAATTCCAATCAAACCACACCAATATCTTTACATTTTACATTTTAAATGCCCCCGGAAATCAATATGCTGCACGCTGTCGAGCAGCCTTTAAAGTTCCGGGCGGAGGCGAAAAGGAGGGGAGGGGGATCTGTGGGAATCTCATCAACTGAAACTGTTGCCTTGACACCCAGGAATGAAGACGCGGGCGAGCAGATAAAACAGCAGACTGATGTTGGGCACGGGTGAGATGGCGCCGTCCTTAGCAACCTGAGGAGGCCCACACTGACGTGGACCCGGGCAAAAGCTAAAAGACATAAAAATCTATTATGGCTGCAAGGATTAGCAGACACAGTTGACGCTGATTATGGAAAGAAATATTCTGTATTACTTCTAGTGTTCATCTGATGCACGTGGTCATTTCGACAAACTGTGTTACAATACAGCAAGTGTAGGAGACGATATGACTTCTATAGTTTTGCTGCAACATAAACAAAAGAAATCACTTGCACAAATGGAACTTTGATGGCGGCACTATGATGGGGCAAAGCGAGAGGAAACAGCAGACGATGCAATTATGGGATTAGTTGCCGAAACTAATAGAATTATTATAGAAATAATTATTAGTTAACTAGTGATGCATTGATCCAATGTTTTGGAGAAGTACTGGCACCAATACTAACCTTACCAAACTGATCAGATGCTGACTGGACATGACCAATCCACATTCAGAACTGTTTCTTTGTCACAGTCACCCGAGTAGATTACTTTGCCATACATTTTTCTCATTTATTTCTTATATATTTATTTCCTCAGTTCCTTTTCCTTATACATATATATAAAAGAAGCAATGTTAGTTACAGTCTCATGGTACCTTGCACACAGAAGAACAATCCTAAGCAATTCTACAAAGTGAGGTATATAGATATCAAACTGAAGAAACAAAAAGTAGCACTGATATCTGATCAGTATTTGGCATTGGGCAAAATACAGAGAGTTCAGGAATCAGAATCAGTGTCATAACCCTAAGTTATAATGGCCATTTTGAAAAATCACAGCCATGCCAGCTGAAGCAAGCGCCGGACTGTGATAGCAAACAGCAAAAGGCATAATGGTTCGATTAGTAGTTCACAGATTAATCGATTATAGAAATAATACTTACTAACAATAGTTAGTAACTAGCAATTTTGAAAAATTACAGCAATGGTGTGAGCTGAAG